CACTGCTCTGAGCCTCCCTATACTTTGTTAGGGGTATGAGACCAATCAGAGATCCCTGGGAAGCGTTGGCCCCTCTGTGATAACAGGGGAAATTATTCCCATAAGTAGCACACATTGGAGCTGACACATTTTACCTTTTTGCCTTGGTTAAAAGAGACAAGAGGAATGCTGGCTCAATTCCTCTTTGTGGCCCTTAGGCTGCCTTCTATACAACTGGAATATGTTTAGCTATGGGCCTATATGTAAAAGAGAATGATTTTCCTTTGTAATATGGCCTGGTCTCAGTTTTCATTTAAGTCTGAGGACTTCTGGCCAGAAAATGGATTATTGAATTATCACACTATTTTGTAATTGGATTTGCTCCTTAAATGTGAGGAAAATTGGGATTAAATTCCTTTTTATTGTTTGACAGGCAGAATTAGAGAGAGAGGGGGAGGGGAGAGAGAGAGAGAGAAAGGTCTTCCTTTTCCACTGGTTCACCCCCCAAATGGCTGCCACGGCTGGCGCTGCGCTGATCCGAAGCCAGGAGCCAGGTGCTTCCTCCCGGTCTCCCATGCGGGTGCAGGGCCCAAGCACTTGGGCCATCCTCCACTGCCTTCCCGGGCCACAGCGGAGAGCTGGACTGGAAGAGGAGCAACTGGGACAGAATCTGGTGCCCCAACCGGGACTAGAACCCGGGGTGCTGGTGCCGCAGGCAGAGGATTAGCCTAGTGAGCTGCGGCACCAGCTGAAATTCTTTATTTTTCACCCTTTAAGTCTTTGTATCAGAATAAGTATTTATAAAAGAAATGTGAAACTAAAATTATAGTGTAGACTGAGTCAAGAGATAAGGAAAGGCCTGTGTAGATTAAGCCAGTAGATAAGAAAAAACCCTGTCCTACCGTACTCACACTCCAAGAAACGGATGATGGGACCCCTTCTGGGTTCCCACTGTCCCTTCTCTCCCTGCTACTTTTCAAGAACACCCACCCTCCCATGATAATAGTTCCCCAAGTTGGTAGGATGACGGCATTGCTTCCCTGGAGAAATATGACGATCCACCAAGAATGGTTCTTTCTCCCATACCCAGAAGCATGCCCAATTTGACTTGGGGCAAACCTGGTCCTGGACAAGGCAATGTCCTTTAAGAAAAAGTCAAAGCAGGAACAGATGAAACTGGGTGCTCTGCACTTACGTATGCTTATTTTCCTTTTTATGTGATTGGGAAAAAATATACCCACATATCAGGGCTGACCATGGAAAATGGAAATCTGTTTACTTCCATTGTTGTATTTAGGCAGATGTACAAACCCTCATGAAATCTTATTAACCCTCGAGGAAGGATGCCTAGTCTTTGAACAGGTCTATCTGGAGGCAGAATGCCAACTTCTAGGCCACCCTGATCCTAACTGAAATGCAAACAGTGCTGGTGATCAAACAAGGTATTAAAAATGGATAATGGTAGAATTGCAGAAGGAAGTCCTCAAACTTTGCAATTTAAATAAAGTACAGGAGGTTCAATGGGGAGAAGGAAAATCCTTTAGCATTTCTAGAAAGAATTTTTGAAGCTTACAGACAATATACTGATTTCAACTCTGAGGTTTCAGAAAACCTATAACTGTAAATATGATGTTCATCAGCCACCATACCCTAGCTATCTGGAGAAGAGGGACACAGAATGCCCATGTCCTTGCTGGTTGAGATTAATTTTAAGGTTTTTAACAGCAGAAAAACAGAAATCAATCTCAAGAAACTCAGAAGTGATTAAATGTGACACCAGGCACAGGTTGACCACTGACCTCAAGAAAACTTTGACTTCTTCTCGACCAGCAAAGAAGACAGCTCATGTAAGCCAATGACCCTCTTTGGGCTGCAATCAATGTGCTAACTGCAGACAGGAAGGACATGGAAAAACATGCCAAAAAGAAAATGCCAAAAGGAAAATAAAAAGAGAGGGCAGGAGGCTAGCGATCAGATTCCATAACGGACAGCAACCAGGAATTATGTGGATCAGGGACCCCCTCAAACCTGGATGGTCCTATTAATATTTTCCTCAATGAGCCATGGATGGCTATACACATGGGCAATAAGCTGCTGGACTTTCTCATGGATAATAGAGCCACTTATCTATTATAAACACTTGACTTGCTTCACTCTCTTCTAAAGGCGTGATAGTGGGGCTTCATGAAAAACTATATCACGACATTTTCCAAAAATCTCTGGGATGTAAAATCTCTGGGATGAAAAACCAACTTAAAATATAGCTTCTTATACATGCCTGAGTGCTCAATATTCCTGGGACATGAATTATTGACTAAACCAAATGCCCAGATATCATTTTCCACCAACATGATAAATGAATGTTAAAGTTCCCTCAGAGTAGGGCTGTGCCATGTAGGCTACCCTACTGGAATCAGGACCTAATCTGTCAACAGAAATACCTCAGGGTATTCTACCACAAATAAATCTGGATTTTTGGGCAGCTGGAAAACCTGGCATGTCTAAAACATTGGTTTTATTCATTATATAACTTAAGGAGGAGAGTTGCATTTCCGAAATTAAACAGTATCATCTAAATAGACAGGCTTTGGAAGGAGTCAAGAATAATAGATATCTTCCAGAAAAATGGTCTCATTTGAGACTTCTTAAAATATTCATTTCAGACTTTTTACAATTTGCCTGCACAAAACTAGGAACCAGTGAGTACTGGTTTGTATAGGGTCTCAGGGCCATTAATCAAGTAGTTGAAGACATTCATCCAGTGGTACCTAATCCTTATATGTTACTCACTACATTCTCTGGTGACTTTTGCTTGTTCACTGTGTCAGATTTAAAGAAAGACTTCTATTTTATGCCTCTGAGTCCAGAGACTCAAGACAAGCCCAGGAACCCAGATGAAGCAGCAGTATTGTTGGGCTACTACCACAATATTTTAAAAATGACCCAACTGGTGGTGGGCATTATGGTGCGACAGGTATGACACTATGTGGGACATCTATATCCCATAATATGGTTCAAATCCTGGCTCTCCTGCTTCTGCTCCAGCTTCCTGTTAATGAATCCTGGAAGGCAGTGGATGATGGCTCAACTGCCTGGGTCTCTGCTCTCCACCTGAGAGACCTGGATGGAGTACTGGGCTCCTCGCTTTGGCCATGGCCCGGTCTAGACCCAGCCATTGTGGTCATTTGAGGAATCAACCAGCAGATAGAAGATCTTTCTCCCTCTCCCTCTGCTACTCCACCTTTCAAATAAATAAACAAATGTTTATTTTTTTCAGAAAAAAGGTAGCAATACCTCTTCTTTTCTTGGAATTCCCAAAGATGGCTGTTTTTTCCACATACTGATTCTCAACTTTAGACTAATAGCAAACCCCCTATATGCAGCTTTGAAGGAAGAGGTATGAGAGCTCTTGGAATGGACTAGGGAATGTGAAAGAGATTCCAAATCATGAGAGAAAATTTAATAACTATCCAAGTCTGGAGACTTCATGATCTGAGAAAAACATTTGAATTGTTTGTGTAAGAGAGGTGGAGGGTGAATTTGAGGGTCCTTCTATAGAGGTTGGGGGCCACACATTGACCAGCACCATATTTTTCTGATCAACTAGATAATGTAATTCAAAGGTAGCCCGTGTGCCTGTGGGTAGTTGCTGCTATGTACGATTTGCTACTAGAAGCAGAAAAATTTTATCCTGGCGATGTAGGCAGGCATATAGGATAAAATTGATTAGGTTTGTCAGCTGAAAGACCACACCTTCACTATGCCCCTGTGTGACCTCACACCCTGACCACACCTGTGTTCCCCTGGCCAATCAGGTTAATTAACCACTCCCCTCTGAAAGTGGATTAAAAGCCTGGGACACGGTGTGGCCAGCCCCTTTTCCTTCTCTTTGGCCTTTTGCCATTGAGGGTGCTTGCTGCCCACGCCTCCAGGGCGCGTGGCCTTCCGGCCACCCACCTCATGCTTCCTGGCCTACATGCTCCTCCACATGGCTGGCTCCTGGTACTTGGTATGAATCCACATTTATCTCACTTTTAAATAGGGCCCTCACTCTCCTATGCATTTCTTTCACTAAATAAAGGCTTAAAGCGTTTCATGCTGCCTTGTTCATTTATGCTGGTATTCAGAATTCTTCTCTGAATATTAGGCAAAAACCCACACAGGCTTATGAATATTGGGAAGTTATTAATAAGCACACGGTGATATTGTATGGTACCCCATATTCCGATATCACTGGGACACCTACTACCATTTATGCTCTCAACTGTGTATTGCCTGTTCTTGAATAAGAAGGATATGGGTTTACATCTTGGAGACTACACAAATATCAGACTATTCTGCCAGGCAATCCTAGTGTTAGGTAGGAAGTCAGAAACGAGCTTGTGTGTGTGTGACAAAGGCTTAAGGAGTTGACATCTGGGTCCAGCTTCAGCATCTCAAAGTCATCCTGATAACCTTCCAGGTGCAGCCCAGTATCTGCACTTCAACCCCCCTGCCCCTTCTACCCAATAACCATCTTTCCTCTAAGGCTCCTCTTAGGCAGGGCAACACCAGCCAGGCTTCCCCCTGTCTGATAACTTCAGGGGGAAAACTCAGAAAGGATTTTTTCATATTTACATGCAAAAAGTCCTTTGTTCCAGGAGGAGAAGAGGCGGAAAGACAAGACCCATCCCCATAAAACCCCTGGCCTCAACTGGACTGCGTGCTCAGCCCTCTGCCTCTCTGCCGAGCCGCCCCCTGGCCTGCCCAGGTGTTCTCTCCACTCAACCATGTAACCTTGCTCTCCCCCAGTCTGAGCGACTGGGCACTGTCTCTCAGGGCCTGTCTGGAGAGGAGCCCATCTGTTCTTACGGATGTCTCTACCCTAATAAACTTTGCTATGTTGCTTTCTACTACTGTCTCACGCCTGAATTCTTTCTTGCGCGAAGACAAGAACACTAGTAACTCTCCGGTAACACTAGTGTACAAGTAAAGGCTGTGTCTACCTTAAATCCTGCCACCTTGCTCTGAAACTCCATTGAGGAGTTCACTTACGATTGAATATATTTGTAATTGAAGAAGTATGTTCTAGTCAGCCTGACTTGATTACCCTGGCCTTAGAATACCTAGACTTAGATATATTTACACATGGGAGCTGGTTTCATGAATCAAGGGCAAAGGAAGCCCAGGTAGTTGGTGGCAACTCAACAACAGATCCTAGAGACTAACAAAGCCTTGCTGCTTGGAGCCTCTGCCCAGAAGTCAGAAATTATCACCGCTATTAGTGCTGTATTTAGAACAAGGAGCAAGAATCAGTATCTGTACTGATTCTAATCACATTTTCTGTGGTTTATGTTCATGGAACTACTTGGAAAGAAAGGGCTTTCTTACTGTAGGAAACAAAGAAATAAAATATGCAGGAAAAATACTGGTCTTTTTCAAGGTGATCTTGCTGCCCAAAGATGTGGTAATTATGCACTGCTCTGGACATCAATGGACTGATAGTTATGTTTCCAAGGGAAACAAAATCAGATCATATAGAAAAAATCATAGAGAAAAGAGAAGCTCAAATTGGAAACTCAAAATCTTCCTCTTGGTCCACACTCTTGACTGTAACTGACTTCAAGTTCAAATATTCTGCAATGACGTAGAGCAGGAGAGTGGGGCTTTTATTAGGGTCTTGCTTAGCCTCAGAATGGTCACTACTTGATTAATGGGGAGTTTGGCTTTATAAGGAAGGAACCATCCCTGCACACTTGATGGAAGATGTGATCACTCATCTCCATCAAACTACACATTTTGGAAGGGATGCTACTACCATCTGATAGATGCATGGTTTATGATAGGCCCTCACTGACCATGAACTCTTAAATGGTAGTTCAGAAGTGATCTCCCTCCCCCCCCCCAAAAAAAAATTCCAAAGACAAATCCTCCACCTTTCATAAAAGAGTTCAAACCAGAGGGATTGGAGCAAGACAAGACTGAAAGTTTGATTTCACTCTGATACCTTGGGCAGCGGGTAATTTTCACTATCTGTTGGTTTTTGTGGACACTTTCGCTGGATAGGTAGAAGCTTTCTTGTGTTGAACAGAAAATGCCTCTGGTCTCCAAGGTTCTGTTAAAAGAAAGAATTTCCTGGTTGAGCTTTTTCTATGCAAATTGACAATGGAAAAACATAAAGTGTTAGAAACACACAAAGAGTTTCCAGAATACAATGTAAACTTCCCACCTCAAGGAGACTATTCAATCTACTGGGAAGACTGAAAAGATGAATTATACATTTTGGCAGACTACAGCAAAGATCTGTCAGGAGACTAACCCTCACAGGGTAGAGTGCTTTCTTTCATACCTGTTGAGAATTCAGATAGTCCCAGAAGTGGGCTCCAACTGAGCCCTTATGAAATGTTATACAGAAAGCCTATTCTAAAAAATGACTATGGGCTGATTTTGTGTTACAGTGTCTTAAACCTGCAATGCCAGCAACACATATGGGTTCCTGTTTGAGTCCTGGCTCCTCTATTTCCAATCTATTTCCCTGCTAATTCACCTGGAAAAACAGCAGAAGATGGCCCAAGTGCTTGGGCCCCTGCCACTTACATGGGAGACCTGGATGAAGCTCATGGCTTTGTGGCCATTTGGGGAGTTAACTCATGGATGAAAGATCTCTCTCCCTCTCTGTCTCTATCTCCTCCTCTTTCTGTAACTTTGTATTAAAAAAAAATCCTAAAAAAAGGGTAAACATGATTGCTATTCAGATATTGACCATATAGCTAGAAAGCTAGAGAATTGGATACTATTTTTTTTTTTTTGGCAGGCAGAGTTAGAAAGTGAGAGAGAGAGACAGAGAGAAAGGACTTCCTTCCGTTGGTTCACCTCCAATTGTTGCTACGGCTGGCGCGCTGCGCCGATCCGAAGCCAGGAGCCAGGTGCTTCCTCCTGGTCTCCCAGGCGGGTGCAGGGCCCAAGCACTTGGACTCCCTAGGTTTTTAAGGGAGTCTGTTTACCCACCTCCCCCTCTCCTCCAGGACAAAGGATGGGGAGTCCTAGCAGGATTTGTTGGATGAAAATTGGCAAGTTCCTCTCCAGATTTGCTGGCAGAATAGAGTGGCTTCCCTTAGGGCGTCTGAGGAGGTTTTATTGACCAGCGTGATCAGGTACCCCATTTGGTCCTGAGGAGAGAGTTCTCCTGGGAGCTCTCCTTGGGGAAGGGCTGGGACCACCTGGGAGGTTATCAGGGTCCGGGCAGGACTTTAAAGTGCAAGATGCTGGACTTCTGGAGCTTCCGCAGTGGGTGCTGGTCTTCAGGCCTGTCTCCACACACATAGGCTCACTTTCTGATACATTACCTAACAAAACGATTTTGTGACAGACGTTCTGAAGTAGACAGGCACACAGGTTAAAATCGATTAGGTTTGTGAGCTGGAAGACCATGCCTTCACCATGCCCCTGTGTGACCTCATGCCCCTGCCTGGTGATACCTGAGCGCCCACAGACCAATCAGGTTAATTAACCACTCCCCTTTGAAAGTGGGTTAAAAGCCTGGGACACAGTGTGTCCGCCCTCTTCTTCCCCTTTCCTTTCTCTGGCTTCTTGCTGCAGCCCCTGGCCTCATGCTTCCTGGCCTAGATGCTCCTCCATGTGGCTGGTTCCTGGTACTCGGTATTGTGGGGAGCAACCCGGACTGGACTGAGTTACTGGAATTAAGACTTATTCTATGCATCTGCTCTCCCACAATGTGGCGCTGGGAGAGGAGAAAACAGCTTCTACACAGCTGCCTCTTGCCAACTTGAGTGATGACCTCCAGGAGCTGATCCTGCTCCTGATTGGAGGAGAGCAGCGTACTCGGCGTGTGGGCAGCCAAGTTGGGATTGGCGGAAGAGGACTATAAAGGAGGAGAGAGACAACATGCACCAGGAACATCTAGGGGGAACATCTATCTGAAGGAACACCTGTGCAGCCCCCGAGAGAGCCGGCCGGCGGTGTGCCACTCCCCTTCCCTCCGTGGAAGGGCGGTAGCCAACCCGGGAAGAACCAGCAGCAAACCCGGGGAGGGCCGAGCAGACAAAAGAACAGTGCAGCGTCCTGTGTCGTTCCTCCATGAAGAGGGGGAGCGACAGGTATGAACCCAGATTTACTTCTCTCCTTTAGACAAAGCCCTCACTCTTCTATGCATCTTTCTTGCTGAATAAAAGCTTAAAATGTACCATGCTGCCTCGCTCATTTATACCAGTATTCAGAATTCTTCTCTGAATATTAGGCAAGAACCCACAAGCTTATTAATATGGGAAACTTATTAATAAGCATATGGTGATATTGTATGGCACCCCAAATTCCGATAACATATGTGGCACCTCAGATGGGATTTTTGGGGAACTTTAAGGGGGCCATATTGCATATCATATTTTGGGGGGTCGAATATTGATGTCATATGGCAACCCAGATGGGACTTTTGGGGAACTTTAAGGGACCACATTCCAATATATTTTTTAGGGGTCCAATTCTGATATCAGTTCCTCTTCACAGGAGATTAGGGCCTACTCTACTCTAGGAAAATCCAGCACCCCAAGGATCAACTACACCTGCCTTAGGTGGGTCCTGGCAGTACCTAGCTAGTCACCCACTTAAACTAATGAGAGTGCATCCACCACATGTGGGGAAAGTAGTTTCACATAGCAGAGCAAAGGCCACCTCAACACTTGCATAGAAATCAGACAGGAAATGAATTATTTGCTGAGGAAAGTCACAAGGGACATGGACTCCCAGCAATGTCATCACTGAAAGCCAGATGTTGATTTTTGATTAAATAGAAAATTCAATATACTTGTGAACCCCTGGAGGATGTTAAGTTGTTCTTTAAGAAAAAAAAAAAAACATAGATAAATGATGTCTAATTCCTGCATGTGAGCTACCATTTTTCTGCTATTTGATATTGTTCTGATAGTTTTTAGGTTCTTATAGCATAACTGTTTCCAGTTGGAATCAATCATTTTCTTTATAATCATTAAAAGTATAAAACCACTGTAATTTTAAGATTGCTGCCCTAATTTCAGTTTCAACAATAGTGACGGGTATGAACCCACAGTTTTTGCCTTTCTGGATCTGGAAATACAATGCTGTGGTAAGAATTTCCCAATTTTTGGCCAAGGCTGGAAACCTCATAGAATGCAGAATATGTCACTTTAGGTCTTTTTCTGTACTTTATGATGGCGAGTTTGTAGTTGTTCTCATGACTAACTTTTCCAAAATGTCTAATTATAGCCTCACTCACTACAGAAAGCCCCCAAAAGGGATCTACCAGGTCAGAGTACTCAACTAAACTCTCTGTCTAATGTTTCCTCTTTATTTTTGACTCCCCTTTTTGGTATGAGGTTTGTCAAAAAGTACTGCTAGAGATTCAGCTTCCCCAGGCTAATCCCCAGTTAATACAACAGTGATGTCCCTGCAGGCTAATATAGCTTCAGAGGTTTTTGACCAGAACGACAGTGCTACCTAAGGGAACACAATAACTTCAACAGGTCTACATCTTGGGGTTATATTTGGGGCCGCCGCCTGTAGTGCCAGCATTCCACATGGGCGCCAGTTCGAGTCCAGGCTGCTCCACTTCCAATCCAGCTCTTTGCTGTGCCTGGTAAAGCAGTGGAAGATGGCCCAAATCCTTGGGCCCCTGCACCTGCATGGGAGACTGGGAGGAGGCTCCTGGCTCCTGGCTTAGGATTAGCATAGCTTTGGCTGTCTCGGCCAATTGGAGAGTGAACCAGTGGATGGAAGACTCTCTCTTTCTCTCTCTGCTTCTCCTCTTTCTGTGTAACTCTTTCAAGTCAACACATAAATCTTTTTTTTTTTAAGACAAAATTGTCAAGGGCAGCATTAAAACTTTCCTCTTTAAAAGGCTTTCCTTGATAATGTCTCTTTACCTGACCGAGGCACTCGCTCTCTTTTCTACATCCCTTTAAAGACCTGTCCATTAAACACTACTACACTTGTTTCTCCTCTATATGAGAAGGCTCTGTGAAGATTTTGGTATCAGTAATTTTCACAAGATCAAGGGTGAGTGCCCTGGATCTGAATAACAGTTACTTCGGAAAATTGTAGGATCAGGGAAGACAGAGAAATTTGGACAAGGCAAGGTACGTCTTAAAAAAGCAAAAGCCAGAAACACGTCTTGGGCAAGAAAGAAATGTCTTAGAATCTCTCCGTCAACTGTTACCCTCTTCTACCTTCTCTCACGTCCATTTTGTATTTAAGCCTACATCAACTGGGATGACTGAATATAGACACTTCTTCGTTTGAAGAGAAATAGCAGTGGTAGTGGGAGCTATGAGAAATCCATGTGCAAAACACTTTGTGCCAGAAACCAGGAAAGGAAATATAAAGTTCAGTTGTATCTCACAAAAAAACAATAAATAAATAGATGGATGAATGGAATTTGGGAGCTTCTGGGCAAATAATTGCCAGACACGAAGTGTAATCCTTGGCACAAGGATTGTGAAGTGCACCAACCCTATGATCTTGCTGTTTTTTAATATATAGATTTTAAATATTTTATTTATTTATTTGAAGGGCAGAATTACAGAAAGATGGGGGGGGGAGAGATTCCATCCTCTAGTTCACACTCTCTCTCTCTCTCTCTTTTTTTTTTTGACAGGCAGAGTGGACAGTGAGAGAGAGAGACAGAGAGAAAGGTCTTCCTTTGCCGTTGGTTCACCCCCCAGTGGCTGCTGCAGCCGGTGCACTGCGGCAGGCGCACCGCGCTGATCCGATGGCAGGAGCCAGGTGCTTCTCCTGGTCTCCCATGGGGTGCAGGGCCCAAGCACTTGGGCCATCCTCCACTGCACTCCCTGGCCACAGCAGAGAGCTGGACAGGAAGAGGGGCAACCGGGACAGAATCCGGCGCCCTGAGCGGGACTAGAACCCGGTGTGCAAGTGCCACAGGCAGAGGATTAGCCTAGTGAGCAGTGGCGCCGGCCTCCTCTAGTTCACTCTCCAAATGGCCACTCAGGTCCTTAATTAAAACTGTTCATATATTTCTCTCAGTTCATCTCTACATATAGATTGTGTAGCACACTATTCAAAGTTATATTTTCTGGAAAATATTTCCACTGCTCATTTGTACTT